AGCTAGGAGTTTATGGAGTTAGTTGCCTAAGGGTCCTGAGCGCAACGGCTTTATGTTAGTTGCGCAGGTTACGCGGCGCGGCGCGTTTCCAAGCTTCGGGGTGGTTGTGACGTCACTTGTCATGGGTGGGGAGGTTTGACGCGCTCCCTTTCTTTTTGGTGGGGTACGGTACGCGACAAGGAGTTGACGACATCACCGCGGTCATTGCACTAATCGAAGAATGCATGCGTGGAAGTAGAGATCTAGTTTTCGTAGGAAAGAACATATGATACAATGAGCATGGTAGCAGGCACTGAGAGCACCGCGCGGAACCTGTCTTCCATTGATGTCCATGTGCGCAGAACTCCGCCTGCTGCAAGTGTTACCACGACACACGCGGATGGCCAGAAGGAAGAAACAAATCCCGCTTCATCATCAAGATGATGCATTCTCCGCCGTGGATTCGCAGTACGCAAAGCAAAAAGAAACAATTTGATGAAACACTTTTGAATGTGCAAGAGGAGAGGCGCTCAATGGTCCCGCGTTGGTTGGAGCTCTCAACGGTTGACGCTACGGCGAAGTCATCTTGCAACTGCAATGTCAGTGTTTGATATCTTATGTGAGCGTGAGCCACTTACTGTCGTGGGCAGCAACATGTACTACCGTGTTCAGCCCGCTACGGTGGGACGAGCGCTCGGATCGATATCCTCCTTGGTCTGATGCGCAAATATCGAGACGTCGATGACCTTGTCATGCTTGTATCCCACCTTCGGAAGTCTACCAACTCGGATAAACTTGCAAGCGCTTAGAAACTTGCCTCGCCAATCAGCATCCAAGTCATCGCCATTCTCGTGGTGAACGTTGATCAAGATGGTCTTGACAACTCTTGACGGCCCTGTCTTGAGATAGTCGAAGTTGTTGACATATTCGTAGCCACCGCGGGCGCGATAGCTGGTATCAACCATCTCCAAAAGTCGATCCATGAGACACTTGCCGATTCCCTTCGAAACGAACCCTGGGTGGACAAACAACTCCATCTCGAATGTGTAGCGGTATAGAGTCGCCTGACCACATTGGTCGTCGAGGTGGATGAAACCGACTATCTTTTCGTTGACATAGCCCGGGTCTACCCGGTGCTGGTTGCTCTTGGAGACGGCCACTAGGTACGGGAGGCCTGCGCTGGTAATATCCGTGATTCTCGCAGCGATGTGAGCCACAGTGCGCTCGTCGAACTCGGTCGCGAAGATGGATTCTCTAACATAAAAGTTATAGATCTCCTATAAGCGGTGTTAGCAGGACATGTGTTTCTGATGCAGTTTAGGATATTCAACTTACTGCGATGCCCCGCACATCCATCGCCTGAATGGGTCGAATATATATGTTGGCTTCAGGGCGCAAGCGACGGTCCACGATTGGTTGAACAGGGGCCTTTGACTCCGGTATGGGACGGTTCCGTTTCGCCATCGTTTTGCGATACTTATCCTCTTTATGCTTCTTTAATGCCTGGACTTTGGCTTCAGCGGAAGCTAATTGATGAGGTTCATTCGTTTCCGGGTCAACCCTAAAATCTGGAGCTTTCAGAGCGTGAAGATAGCTGGACGCGTGTGTGAGACGCTTCTGGTCCTGGCTGCCATCGGTATCGATGGTCTCTTCATAGATGATATCCTCGTAAAGCTCCCACCAAGGTAAGTAGTCGATGAGATCGTTTTTGTCTACAAGTTCAGGCTTGGACTTCGTTGTTACAAGTTTCTGCCAGTTTACCCTAAGGTTGTCGCCCTCAATCTTTACCTCTAGCCAGTAGCGAGGTGCAACTTCTTTTCCGAGGGTGAACGTGTTAGGTGGGAGGTACACTTGGACCTCAGCTTCGCCAGGGGTTGCGTTAAACCATCGCTCTATGTGGGCGCCAAAATGACGGTCTGCATGACCTTTGCGTCCAATCCATGTCTCAGGGGCGGGCAGCCAGTGACCATTCCAGTCTGTCAGCTTCTTGATGTCGTAATCTGGGTCTCCATTGCTGTTGGACCTGAAGCTGATACCGCCATCACTGTCGCTGCTTGAGGGTATATACTTCATATCTTTTGTCTTGGGCCAGACTGTCTTCTTGTAAGGCTGTGGACCTCGAGGCCATCGTGGATTTCCCGGAGCTTTGGTAGTGGGTGGAGATTCGGCCTTGGGCTGGTCCCAGCCGTTGTAGGTGGTGGGCTCAGGCATCGCAGATCCACGCAATCCGTTCTTTCCATTGCCGCGCGAGGTTGTTGGTGACGAAGAAGACGAATCTTGCTGATGATTCGCACCGTTGCTGCATACGTGTTAGTAAACCTGAATTGTATGACGTCTGTCACGGCATCGAGGCGCGCGATGGTAGACTTACGAGATGAGATCAGGCTTGCCGTTTATCGCTAGCTTCGACTGATTGGACGTAGAACGCGATCCATTGACAGCAACACCGCTGTCATGGGCAGAGTCTGCCTTTCCACCGTCGGCAGAGCTGCGGTTGCGGAGGTGAGGAGGGACGTAGACACTCGCTTTTCCGTTGGATGGCCCGGCCATGTTGTTGGCAATTTTCTTCTTCTTGTTGCGCGGGGATCTCTTGTTAGGCGGCTTCAGATTATTTTCTGGGTCCGTGGCGCGGGGTGTAGTTGGAGAAGTAAGGTTGGCAGGTTCGACGGTACTAGCGTGGTGAGCGGCTGCCTTACCACGGCCGTTTCGATGCGGTTGCTTGGGTACGTTAGAGAATTCGGATTGCCGAGCTAGCCAGCTATCCGGGTCGTCTGGTTGCACGGGATCGTTCTCCTCAGCTGCGAATGGCACCCAGTGATGATGGCCAGATTGAGGCTTGTTAAGCTAGTGGTGTGTGTTAGTTGTGTTGTAAGAGTTGGTGAAGTGCAGGTGGGAAGAATCGAGCAGGTGACAAGACTTATAAGCCGTCACTCTGGGGCGGTATGATGTCGGTACGGGAAGCGAGGTGCGCCTTCACTTACCGAGAGGTTTCCGAAGTCCTTTTCCTGCTGCCAAGTCATGGGTTCTTTGGCGAGCTTCGTGTCGACCTGAGCGTCCTTGACTATATCATCTTCCAGCTCGATCAATTGAGGTAGCGGAGGCAGTGTGCTGCGCGGGCACCAATTACGCGCGGTGCGGCTCATGATGCAGGATTCCGACACTTCTGACTCGGAAGAGAACGAGAGGGCCCCATACAATGCTGATGGGAGCAGAATGAGCGACCAAGATGAAGAAGAAGAAGAAGATATCCTTGAGATGTAGAAGCATGCAAAGGCCTGGGTCACGGTTTTCTAGCGATGAGTCTGCCTAATAGGTTTGGCGAGAGCATGCCAGCTTCACCTCACCTCTTTCCTCACAGAATTTTACCTTGCCATGACACATCCCACGTGTCTACCGCTAGTGCCTACCGAGAAAGGCAGGCAGCCACAATGAAGACAGAACATTACGGAAAGAGTTACCAATGGGACATCAAGACGTACCTAGTTATACAGTATCTTGAGACAACAAATGAACATATATCTAACGAAATAGACGAACGGATAATTAGACGACATTTTCTATGCCATTTTCCCAGATTACAATTACTGATAGAAATTGAAAGGCGAAATGGAAAATTTCCCGAGATTGCTGAAAGGCGACGTGATAACAGTGTTGTTGCTTTAGCATGCAATACCGTCAGATGCAAGTGTCCGCAAACAGTTTAGCCGATGAAGGGACGAGCGCCACACTTACTCGACTGACTGCCTGACAGACTGACAGAACCCGGAAAGTGAAACGCACAAAATGCTGTCAATACTACGAAAGGCGCGTCTCAAGGACAAGGAGATGCGAATCTTGATGCTGTGCGTATTCCAAGAGTTTTTGCGAGATCGGAGGCTCACTGCATCAGTGGGCTTGACAATGCGGGAAAGACGACCATTGTGAAGAAGATCATGAACGAGGATGTGAACAGTGTCAGCCCTACGCTTGGTTTCATCATCAAGACGATTGAGTATGACGGGTACGTATGACAAACCTTGGCCGCCTGATGAGACTGACGGAACAGTTACAAACTCAATATATGTACTGCACCTGGTTGTTCCCTCACAAGCGTGTACTAATAGCACAGGGGATGTCGGTGGCCAGAAGACATTGCGGACGTACTGGAAGAACTATTTTGAGAAGACTGACACGCTCATCTGGGTTGTCGATGCGACTGACCGCGAGCGGATAGACGATTGTCGACAGGAATTGGCGGGGTTGCTGCTGGAAGAGGTTTGCACAAGCATGAACCCTCCCAAGCGTCACGAGCTAACAAAAGAAGCGTTTATCTGGAGCCAGTCTGCTTGTGTTCAAAAACAAGAGCGATGTGCCGGGGTCCATGACGGAAGACGAGATTCGCGAGGTGGGTGAGGGCTTAGGAAGATGTTGAGCCTGGTTGGCGGGCCAATGCTGACGGCGGCGTACAGGGACTGCGACTCGACGCCATCAAAACACACAAATGGCACGTTATGGCCTGCAGTGCCATGACGGGAATGAACTTGCAGGAGGGGCTGGAGTGGGTGGTGCAGGATGCAAAGGCGCGACTGTTCTTGTATTGATGCTTGTCGGCATGCATCGCGGTGCCAGGGGCACGGCAGCCCAAAGGCTGGATGCGGGTAGTATAGCGGTAGTCGAATGACAAGCTCCAACCGCCCAAGTGTGGAGCTGGCGTCGACCGGCCGCAGCTGGACGTCGATGGTATAAACAAACAGCCATCGAGGCCGTCTGGACGACCTGCATCCCTCTATCTCGCTGCTTCTCTTCATCATTCGCTCATTTGGTGCTACCTGTCCGCGGGCTTACGTCGACATCGCATCTGAAACATACCCGAGCATTCTGGCTAGGAATGACATAACCGAGTCAAAGTAATTTAACGACCGTCTAGCTCCCAGATCCGCCTGGGATTCATCTCACTGCCGAGCAGCTTCAATCCTTGCGCATAACTCCCGTAGCGCACATTGGCCTGTGATAGCCTGCCTTTCTCGTCGCCCACAAGCACCATGGCGTCCGACGAGAGGGAAATCGATCCTTCCGAGTTTGTGCAGCGGATTCAACGGCTGGGCGACCAGCGGGACCGCGAAGATGCCGAGCGCGTCAAGAAGCTCGAGGAGGAGCTGATACAGGGCCGCAGCGAGCGACTAGCGCGCAGAGCAGGTTTGTTTTTATGCCCGTTAGAGTTCACGACGGCTGTTGACCCAAACAGAGCGAGCCCGCTCCATCTCCCCCGACAAGCCATATACGCCCCAGTCCCCGCGCTCTCAAGCTGCCACGCCCCGAATGGTGCAGGAAAAGGCTGCCAGCACGCCCACGCCCGCCATGAGCCCGCCAAGTCAAGACGCCGCCCGCGACGACTCGCTGCAGCGCCTCACGAGCTCGCCCACGCCCTCCGCCCTCGACGACACCGAGCCCAAGAAGCCCGCCACCAGCGCCGCGGCATTGGGGCGCTCCGGCACCCTATCGTGGAACCAGAGGCCCAAGTCCGGCAGCATACGGCGGCCGCTGTCAGTCGCATCGCGGTCCCCCGAGCGCCCGTCAGCCAGCAACACGCCCGAGCCGCCCTCGTCGCCCGAGGCCAATCCCTCCAGAACCTCCATCGCCGCCTCGTTAGGCGCCAAGGACCCAGCCTTCTTCCGACAGACACAGGACAGTGGAAGGGGCGCAGCGGCATACAGGAAAAACCAGGACGAGGCGGCGTCAGAGACAGGCTCCGTGTCGGGCAGGAGACAGCTGCCGGGTATGTCACGCGAGTCTACCATAGAGCCCGAGGTCAGCAGCCCGCCTGCCGAAAGCATACGCTCCAGCTCGCCCGGCTCTCGCGGCGGCTCGGTACGCGGCAGCGCCATGCTGAGCAACCGCTTTTCCACCAACACGTCGGTATCAGGGGGCGACGCTGAGCCGCTCGCCAAGGGGCGCTCTCCTCTCCCAACGCTCGACTCCCAAAAGTTCGCCCCGCCGTTTGAACAAGGCTCTTCGATCGACGGTGGGGACAGCGAACGTGCCGCACGCGCCCTTGCCATGTCGCCGACACAAGGGAGGATTTCGCCCGAACGGGAACGATCTGCCTCGCCTACCAAGGGCATGGGCGGCTTCGTGCAAAGCGCCATGCTCAAGCGCAGCGATAGCGTAAGCAAGCGGTGGAGCACCCAGACACCGCCAGTCCTGAGCAGACAAAACTCTACCCTGAGCAACCGCGGAAGTGCCATAACAGGCTACGGCTCACTCTCCGGCCTCGACCGACCTAGTCTGAGCAGAGACAACTCCATCGAACCTTCGTCCTCCTCGCGTCCCGCCTCGAGTTACAGCAATGCGACCATCACGGGCGCCGACAAAGACAGCGCACCCAAAGACGAGTTCGTGAAGCCAGCCCTACCTCACCGTCACAGCCGAGCCAAGTCCGTCGCGTCTACCTTCAGCGACAAGGACGCACTCAACGACGACTTCTCGCCCCCGAGCCCCTCGAAGCGGTGGAGCCCTACAAAGTCGACTTGGCTGGAGAGTGCGCTGAGCAGGCCAGAGTCGCCCAAGCCGAAGCAAGCAGCGCCGGCGCAGCCTGCGTGGATGGCAGAGATCAACCGCATCAAGCAACAGCGCAGTAGTGTTGACCTGGGGAAAGGCAGCCCATTCGGAGAGCCATCGTCTGGTCGCACCTCGCCCATCAAGGACATACAACTGAAGCCTGTCGGTCTTCGCAGACCCGAGTCTCCCAAGAAGGAGGAAGGCGCTGAGCCCAAGAAGATGGAGACAGTCAAGGAGCAGTCTCCCAGCCCTACACCTGCATTGGCACCGAAGCCCTTGTTCGCCAAGAAGTCGGAATCTAAGCTCGCGACTGAGACACCAGCAGCGGCAGCTGAGCCTGAAGTCGTCAAGGACGCCCCTGAAAAGGCTGCTGTAGAAGCACCCGCTCCGACCCCCAACAAATCGCAATCACCGCCGCCAACAGCTGAACAACCAGCAACGCCCACCGAAGCCAAGCCGGTAGCATCGCGATTCACACAAGATACAGGCCGTGGATCTCCAGCGGCGAGGCCGAAAACCCCACCCAAGAAGGACTTCCGCGCCGGGCTGAAGCCACGCCGACCGCCTCCTGACAATTCGAAGAAGGATGGTGAGGTCAATGAGTTGCAGAACGTCTTTGGCCGGCTACGAAAGGCCGAAACCAAGAACTATGTTGCGCCTGACGTGCTCAAGGATAACATCACAAGAGGGAAGACCGCGCTTAATGTGACTGGTGGTCCCAAGCCCACCGTCCGGAAAGACGAGTTCAGGGAGAGCCTCATCAAGAGGAAATCTACCATCTTCGACAAGGCCCAGGAAGAGGGCTCTGCATTGAAGCGATCTGATAGCGCATCGAAACCATCTCCTCCAACACCCGAAGCTATTGCAAAGAAGAAGGGCCTGAACCGAGCAGACAGTGACCCAAAAGCTGGAGCCCCGAAAGAAGCAGAACCCATACCGGAAGCTTTGGCTAGGAGGAAAAGTTTAGCTGCGAACAGGCCTATCATGAACGACAAGCCAGCACAGCCCGCATCCTCTACGACAAAAGAGCCAGCCATGTCTGGCAAGCTCGCGGGTCGCTTTAACCCTGCACTAGCCGGTATGCTCGCTCGAGGTCCACCGCCTCTTGCGACGAACAAGTCTACATCAAGTGCTGAGGTAGACTTGTCTCCTATCAGGCCTGCGCAAGAAGAGAAGACTGGACCTGCCCCAGAGCTGCAACACATGACCAAGGGCCGCGCCCGCGGACCGAAGCGAAGGGCGCCGAAATCCACGACTGCCGGACCGGAAAAGACTCAGGACAAGGCTCAGGACAAGGTTGAGGAAAAGGCTCAAGAGAAGGTACCTACCGCTGCTGTTGCTCCTTTGGTGAAACCAGAGCATGTCCTTCCTAGCTCCGAGGTTTCCAAGACTAACGGAAAATCAGAGGAGCGACCAGTAGCCAGGACGCCGGTCAGACAGTCGTCGACTGATAAGCCTGCCACGCCTGCCAAATCATCGCGCATCTCTTCCGGAAATTTCGGAAAAGCCTCCACTCCGGAGCTCCCCAAAAAGCCAGAGTCTCTGGAGTTGGACCGCAGAGTGTCTGGATCTCAAGCCACCCCAAAGACGCCACGGCCCGAGTCTATCAACTCACCGAAACCATCATCACCAAGAGTACCGAATAAGCCAACATCTCAAGAATTTGAAAGACGGGTCTCTGGATCGCATACCACGCCGATGAAGTCTCCACTACCAAGGCCAGTCGAAACACCAACGTCCGCATCACCGACACCGACACCGACATCGCATTCTCGATTCTCCCGTCCACTCCCGACGTTGCCGCAAACAGTGCCTTCAAAACCAGCAGCGGAGAGTCCTAGATCAACGCCACTTAGGGAAATATCAACACCCAACGTAGAAATCTCACCACCCAAGGATGAGCCCTCGCCCGAGAAGACGACGTTTTCCTCGGTCAAGAGCGCCACCACTCTATGGGGTAGGTCGTCGGCGTCTTCATCGCCCGCTCCAACAAGGGTGAAGTCTCCCATCAAGCTACCAACGCAAGCGGACGAACAAGCTGCGATGAAAGACGCCGGACTGGTTCGCTCATCAGAGCCAGAAACCAAGGCCCTTCCCAACCCGCCACAGCCCAGCCAACAGTCACCGACTGAATCGAAACCTCTGCCACCGAAGCCGAAGCCTGTTGGCCTGGGCTTCAGCCTTGGTAGTCTGGGTGGATTTGTCGCGTCACGATCGCGAGACTCGAGTCCTCAATTGCCTAAGAACGCGCCTATGTCACCACCAGGGAGCGCAAACAGGCCATTCTCTGAGCCATCCATTGTGTCACCAACTATCCCAAAGCACGACGGGATGTTCGCCGACTTCTTTGATGAAGCGCCCGTTACTGAGGGCCAGCTTCCCGATAACGTAGACACCATGTACACACTAAAATCGCCACCACTTGACCTTGGTCCGTCAGGGAAGATTCGTACATTACGCAAGCAGATCCAAGAAGTAACCGGTGACGGGAGACTTACATCTATACCCATGCAAGAAGAGCATATCTTGTTCCAAGATTCAATGTACTTGTGCACGCACGTCTATGGTGATGCAAGGGGCGGAAGACACACGGACGTGTACCTATGGGCCGGCAATGGTGTGCCCGAACCTACTCTGGAAGATGTGCAACTCTTCGCAAAGAACCATGCACGACAGAACCAAGGGACGCTTCTAGTCATCCGTCAAGGTCAAGAGACACCGAACTTCTTTGAGGCTCTGGGTGGTATTGTCATCACACGACGTGGCGCAAAGCCAGGATCGAAGGAGTTCATGCTTTGTGGCCGTCGCCATCTCGGACACCTCGCCTTTGATGAAGTAGACTACTCTCTCAAGAGTCTATGCTCCGCCTTTCCCTACCTCGTCTCCACTTCGACCGGCAAGGTATACTTATGGAAAGGTCGCGGCTGTTCCGCTGAGGAGGTGTCCGGTGCTCGCCTCATGGGCATGGACCTTGCACCCACGGGCGACTACAACGAGATCGACGAGGGTGCCGAACCTCAAGCCTTCCTCAACAGCACATTTCCTCCCTCCCAAGTGCCAGCGAAGGGCCCTGCCATCCCACGCTCAGCAGACCACTGGCGCTACAAAGCCACATCGGATAAGTACCGCGTGCGTCTCTACAAGATTGAACAAACGACCGGCCAACCGGCAGGATGGGGCCAAGCACTCCAGGTGAGCAGCTCCTTTTTCGCACCGCTGCTGCGGAGACCGTCTTGGAACGCTGCTGAACAGAGGCCACAGACGCCGCTTACGCCCAAGACGCCGCACGGTGCTGTCAAGACCGAGGTCAAGGAGATTATGCCTTTCTCGCAGAGGGATCTGGAGCCGGAGAACGTATATGTACTTGACGCGTTCTTCGAGATGTACATGTAAGTTGCCTCGTCATTGCAGATGTCTGCCACAGTCCACTAATCCTTCGCAGTATCGTTGGCCCCTTGTCTCGCACACAAGCGCCTGCATTCTCCACGGCTCTGATGTTCGCGCAAGCCTACGGTATGCTTGCTGTATCGGAGGAAGACCGTCCGTTCATGCCCGTGACGACGGTCGTACTAGAAGGTGTACCTCGCGACATGAAGGTTCTGTTCCGACACTGGGACGACAAGCTCATCCCCGCTGCTGGCTTGATGAGCGGTAAACTTGGCCGAGGCAAGAGTTTGAGGATCGTCGGTTTGGAGAAAGCCATTGAGGCTACGCGGCGCTAGAGGGTGGGCGAAAGCATTCGTGCTTGTTACTGCGTTGTCATGAGCGTCTCGAAGGCGAATTGCATTTTTGCGCCTTACCTTCCATGTACATAAGTTATGCCTGCACTATATTCGGCGGCAGGTGCCTTAGGCTTGCACAACGGCGTCGCGGCGTCACTACGGACCGGCCTATGGCTGAAGTCGTCGAGGCAGTATTCTCGCTCACGCGACCTGTATATCATTACGTTGCTCAATCTCGTTCCCGGTTGATATCTGTTTCTCATTTCAACGGCCTTGTTTTTCAGCTGATGAAGAAACAACATCAATCTAGACCGTTGAAAAGAGCGTCGTTGTCAACATGAACGTGGGCCCAGAACATCGACAGAGCATGATCGGAAATGAGAGGGAGGTTCCCGCGGCGGGTACGCGATGTTTCAGCTGAACCGATGCAGGAACTGTTCACCCGCACTGGGCCGTATCCTTCTCGCCCTCTGGCTAGCACCACCGGTTCGATCTCGTTTCGCGGACTAATATGTAAATTTTCTGACCATGACTTTTGCCTTGGTGATGATCATTGATCTTCTAGGGTGTTCTGCCGTCTTTCTATTATCGGAACAAGTGGAGGAGACAGCACCTTGCGCCAAACTGGTGGAAACGTCATGACATGTGGCGCTGTCTCATGCGCATAGTGGCGGGCTGTGCCTCAGAAACATGAGGCGATGGATAGTTGATGCCCTAAGGGTGTTTCACCGGGGATCTGCATTGTAGTCTTGTTTGCATGACGGTGTTGTTGTGGGTCGTTCAGGCATTGCAGTTACTATTGTTTCTTCGATGGATGAAGTTGACTGCAAGAACACCGAGATAATGATGGACGAGTGTCGTTCACCTGTCCAAACCTTCTGTTGGTGAGAGTTTCGCGTGCTCCCGCCGGTACTTCTCTCGGCTCTCCGTAGCGGCCGCTGCTGGTGCTGACTTGCCTAAAGACGCCTGGATCCGTCTGACGCGATCAGCACAGGCACACATGACTATTTCCCCCTCCCTTACACCGCATTCACATTGTACTCTGTCACAGAACACGTCAATGCTGGCAGAATAGCCACCGGTATGTTTCTTCGCATGGCAGGAGGTCCCAGGGTATCCAAGCCTTCCCAAGCTTTTGCCGAGGGAAATAAGCACGCCGATCCATGCAACCATCTGCAGGAATGGGAGGAAACGCCAGGGCTTCCCCACAGAACACTATAGTCATCTACCGTAGCTTGACGGAGCTTAATTAATCGGGGGTACTGCTCATTTACACTACTGGTGGAATGGTCTGAGGACCAGGGTTCGAGCAACGGAATGCGTCCCCCGGGGCTCGGGAGCACGTTTGCATGCGGATAGTGGCAAGCGCTCAGATGGCGAGGCGACAGCGGCTTCGGTCATGGACCTTGAAACAATCGCAATATGTTTGGTGCGAGATGTTTACAGCCTTTTAACCGTCAAGTCGTATATAGACCAAGGCTTGGAAGGACGATTAAGCTCACCACCAAGCATCTACACAAGCAGCCTTCACTTCCACATTCTCTTCTTCACTACCAATCAACGTTCTTTTACAACAAACCCACTTTTCCAACCTTTCAATCTTCAAAATGGTTGCCTTCAGCTCTATGGTCCTCGGCCTCACCGCCATTGCCGGCTCTGCCTTTGCCGCACCCACTGCCGATGTCCCTGACTTCGAGCTCGGCTCCAAGAGCCTCGCCGCCCGCCAGGACTACAACCAGAACTACAAGACCTCTGGCAACGTCCAGTTCAGCCCCACCAACAACGGCTACAGCGTCAACTTCTCCAACGCCGGCGACTTCGTCGTTGGAAAGGGCTGGAACAAGGGCACGACCCGCAAGATCAACTTCCAGGGCTCCACCACGCCCCAAGCCGGCACTGTCCTCGTCTCCGTCTACGGATGGACCACCGGCCCCTTGGTCGAGTACTACATCCAGGAGTACACCTCCAACGGAGCTGGTTCCGCCCAGGGCACCAAGATGGGCCAGGTCACCTGCGACGGCTCCGTCTACGACATCTGGAAGCACACCCAGGTCAACCAGCCTTCCATCCAGGGCACCACCACCTTCACCCAGTACATCTCCAACCGTGTGAACAAGAGGCCCGGCAGCGGCACTGTCACCACCAAGTGCCACTTCGACGCCTGGGCCAAGCTCGGCATGAACCTCGGTCAGCACAACTACCAGACTCTTGCCACCGAGGGCTGGGGCAACGCTGCTGGCAAGTCCCAGTACACCATCACCGGCTCATAGAGTGTTGTTACACACTTTGTACGAGGGCCACTGAGTGGCTTGGACAATCGACCTGGATCAAGCATTGATTTGTTCGCTGGCGCAATGCAGTGGACTACTGAAGAGCTTGGTTGTTGAGGGTTTTCTTGTTGTAGATTTTGGTTTCTATCGTTCTTTCTTTTCGATTCTTTGGGGGTCTTGACATACTCCTCGCATGTACATATTGCATCTTTTTGCTGGAAAAAATTCACTCTGGTCTGTTGTCTTGAAGACAGACAGCTATAAAACTTGCTTCTTCTTGCTTGTGATGTTTCGCGTGATGTCGAAGTGAACAGTGACTACTGTGCAGCTTGGCGGGCGGCTCATGTGCGAACTTTCAACTTTACTACCAAGCCTAATATCCTTAACTTAATCCCTCTGGGGACGTAGATTCCGTGGACGACCAATGCCATAAAATCAATATTTGGAGTCGGTTGAGAAAAGACGCAGGTGGTGTAGACTTCATCGCGATAACTTCAAGGTATGGACATCTTAAAGACTGAGGTTCAACAATTCTTCCGAATGTACTGTGATGACGTAGGGGTGTGTATCCGCCTTACAACGGCTACGAACATGTGTTCAGTTGGTGGTTGTATACTTGCGCTGTTCTGCTACAACTTCAAATGGAGAATGGGTGCAGTTTTAGAAGGTCCGGATTCCGCGGTCCAGAACACAGCCGAATGCGTTGGTTGATAAATAGCAGTTGTGTCGCATATATACTCGCGGTATCTGCCTTGCGCTTCTTTCGCTCCCATCATGCACTGAGGCAATGTTAGTAGGGCATGTGCACGCAACATACAAACTCGGGAAGACAGCCATCGTGTTTCGCCGAGGGCAGACTCTCTGAAAACCTCAAAGCTACCACAATCATCGCGCACTCCAAGGTACAATTCAATGACCAGCGCGGACAATGCCCAGGCCTCAATCTGAGTCAAGGATACATACTCTTCTCCGTTGGAACTTCTGGAATCCGGGCCGTGTAATTCGGTGATGTTCGTCTAACAAGCCACCGAAGTTGAGTTGGAACGCGTCTTCTCAACGAAGATTCGAGCGATGCGATCCTGATTTAGGGTTTCGTTTTGGCGGACCCTTTTCCATAGTAACAGCCGATATGATTCTTTGATGGATTGTGAGATTCGTAAATGACGCTCCTGCTGTTGTTGTTGATGACGAGCCTTCAGGGTGTCGCCCACGTTGGAGAATGTGGCCCGTGCACCCACTAAAAAATAAGCGACGTGGGCTCTTGTCGAAATACCTATCCATTGTGCGAACTCCAACGACCGACAATCCAACTCACATCAACACCGTCGTCATGGGTAGGGTCATTCGCAACCAACGTAAGGGTCGCGGCTCTATCTTCACGGCCAACACCCGCCTGAACAAGAACCCCGCCCAGTTCCGCACGCTCGACTTCGTACGTTCGCCGCCCGCATAATCGCGATATTGGACACACACACACACTGGGACATGAGGGCTAATGGGTGCAGGCTGAGCGCAATGGTTACATTCGGGGTGTCGTAAAGGAGATCGTCCACGACTCCGGTCGTGGTGAGTACCCAGTCGCGAATTGGACGTCTGGGCCATTTTTAACGATATCGTGAACAGGCGCTCCCCTCGCCAGGGTCACCTTCCGCAACCCCTACAAGTTCAAGCAGAACACCGAGACCTTCATCGCCAACGAGGGCATGTACACTGGCCAGGTCAGTCGAAATACTCTGGGCCGCAACAACGGGAATTATATCTAACATTGCCAAGTTCATCTACGCCGGAAAGAACGCTGCGCTCACCATCGGCAACGTCCTCCCCCTCGCTTCCGTCCCCGAAGGTACCGTCCTCACCAACGTCGAAGACAAGAACGGTGACCGTGGTGCGCTCGGCCGTACCTCCGGTAACTACGTGACCGTTATCGGCCACAACCCCGATGAGGGCAAGACCCGTGTCAAGCTCCCATCTGGCGCCAAGAAGGTCCTTCCCAGCTCATGCCGTGGTATGGTCGGTATCGTCGCTGGAGGTGGCCGCACAGACAAGCCTCTCATGAAGGCGTCGCGTGCTAAGCACAAGGTATGTGTTGTGATCGTATTTGGACCAGCGCAATCACTAACACCCGACAGTTCGCTGCCAAGCGCAACAGCTGGCCCAGGACTCGTGGTGTTGCCATGAACCCCGTCGACCATCCCCACGGTGGTGGTAACCACCAGCATATCGGTAAAGCCTCGACCATCTCCCGGTACGCCACCCAGGGTCAAAAGGCCGGTCTCATCGCCGCGCGGAGGACAGGTCTGCTCCGTGGTACCCAGAAGACAAAGGACTAGAGTGGTGCTTTGTGATCTGGTGGCGTTGGTCTACGACAGGAACGACAAAGATGCGGTCGGTTATTCTCTCCATACCTCTATATGCGGGTGGCCGGGCGTTATAACGAAATGGAAACTTCTCGGCAAGCTAGGCTTTCTTCTACTGTGGCTTGCATGCATGATAGGTTCTTAGGGAATGTGATTCCGAAAAATGCATCTGGTCTGAACTTCTGATATCGTCCACCATTCATTGTGTCTGTCTGTGCTGTGACGTTGTGTTCTCATACTAGATATGTTCTATAGCAGATCCCTCGAGGCATTCATGTCGCATGTATGCATGTCACGGCTTGATTCTTGGAATTGGACATTGCCACAGATCAACGACCCTCACGCTCCACCCATCTCCACATCGCCATCTCTGTCCTCTGCTTCGCTCTCAGTCCCAGTCCCACTACCCTCATCCCCGTCTTCCTTCTCCTTCTTCATCCTATAGTCCATATCCAACACGCGATAATGTTTCCTATCGTCGCCCAACACAACAATCACTCTTCTGCCCTTTCGTCCATTCACAACCAACTTCATCGGAGTGAACCGGCCTTCAAACACATGTTGCGTGTGCTTCTGAACCATCTCTCGCGTTACAACTATCTTATTTCGTGGTGACGGCGGCGGTGTGCCTTGTGGGAGAAAATGTTGCTGTAGCGAAGACTGCGGGAGCGGGGTGTAAGTGATGAGAGGGTGTTGGTGCGGTATATCGTTGGCGGCGGGTGTGTACGGTAGGGATACGATGACGTTTGATAGCGATTTATCGTCTGCGGGGAGCTGCAAGAGGATGAGAAGACAGGCGTCGTCTGCGAACTTTGCATCGAGGATCTTGATGTCTTTGGTCGATTGGGAGGCGGGAGAGAAGTCAAGGGTGGAGATGGCGTAGGCGTGGATGTCTCGCTGTAGATTGGATATACTCTGTGCGTGTGAGATGCGGTGGATGTGTAGGAGATTTGGGGATGAAGGGGGTGAGAGCGCGATGTAAGTGCTCATGCTGTCTGAGGTGAATGATGGCTGTGTGGTGTTAGTATGTATGACTTCTCGAGCGTTGGTGGAAGAAGGAAGTCGGGCAGCATACCTCAAACACCATCCTCGTATCCAGTACGCCTATCTCCCCGGCCTCATCAATCTCTTCAAGAACAACACCAGAGTTCATCTGAATGTTGGCTTCCTGCCACCTACTAATCTGCTTCAGCAGCCCCGTGACACCTGTGCTCAAATGTCCGAGAACATGTTCAAGGCACAACGCCTCCTCTTTGAAGGTCGCACCTTCCTTCAACAACTCGATAGCCTTCTTCGTATCCTCATAGCTCGCTTCCTCTCTCCCCTTGGCTTTACCATCCAATTGCGCCTCTGGTCTGAGAAACGGCGTAACATCCGACTTGGTAAGCCCGTACTGGATATATGCCAGTACCTGCGAGACATCGACCCCGGGATCGCGCTGTTCCATCTCAGCTCTAGACTGCGAGTCCAACTCCGTAGCCTCGAAGTCAATGGTGAATCTCAACCATTTACTGAAGCTGTGGAACTGTCTCTTCTCTTCCGATGCGTACAACATGGCTGTGTGGGCTAGCAATCGCATATTCTTCAGCGTCTCTAACAGCGATGAGAAGTCCGTCATTGGTCCGCTGAAGATCCAATCTCGGTCGTGGAACTGCGCAAGTCCACGCAGACGCGAGATGACTATGGAGCAACGGTCGAGTGCTGGAATGAGGTTCTCATGGAGCAGAGCGAGAAGCGTGGTGAAAGAAGAAGTAACGGTGTTGTCCCAGCGCTTATGTCCTGCTTCTGCCAACTCGTCGACAAGCCATTCTTTGAGAACAGGATTGCAGTTTCCTGTGCATGCTGTGTGGAAGAGGTTTGTGACAAGATCGCCTAGTTCCTTCTCTTCGAGTGTTTCGCTAATGTTCATCATGAACTTTCGGGGCAGGTCTTGCGCGTGCTTGAAGAAAGCGCGGACGCGTTGGAGGGTTTGGGTGATGTACAGGAGCAGGTTCTGTAGTTGTGATGTCTTTGCTGCAATGAGGTGCAGATAGATGCCTGCGGAGGGGATGAAGTTCAGTGTCAAAGGGACATAGGCGATGCTCTTCTTTTGGGGCGAGGTGGTCGATGACGTTTGCATCAGGAGGCTGTGTGTACAGCTGTACGGATGACTTGTATGTAGTATTGGCGTGCTCGACATGTTCCAGGCTCTCGGGAGCTGGACGTTGACTGTTTCGAGCGAGTCGTAAATCGAGGGGTGGACGGTTCCACGGTCGGTCAGTCGAATGAACATGTCGACAGAGTTGTGATCTTTCAGATGATGCGAATGCAGAAGCGAGTCCACCTCCGCTTGCGAACTGAACGCTCCAGTATCCGCCTGTGAGATGCGCATGAAGGGTAATGCAGGCGCAAGGGGGATTGCGGGGAGTTTAGGTAGTACCGATTCCATATCCATCATAGCAAGCTGATCCGGTAGGTCAGGCGCGATATTCAAGGTCTGGAAGTCCGGCTGCCGCTGCAGAAAGTCCTCCAGCGTGGTATCATCCTTGAACGCATCCCATTCCTCCGTCGTCGGATTGCCAAAGACATCAGTCTTCGCAGGCGTAACGCCGTTGGCATTCTTCGGTTCCAAGCCGGTGCGCTTCTTCACAGTCTCCACATTGA